ATGTCAAACACATAAAAGGAAAAACAAATATTCTTCCAGATCTACTCACCAGGCCAAAATTTTCTCATATCCAACTAATTCCCATAATTTGCATGATGAGCCCTCCTTTCTCTTTATTGTCCCAAAATGATTCAATTCTTCCGAAACTCAACAACCTCATCCAAGGTAAAACTCTCCACTCCAAGTCTAAAGAACTCATGTTGAAAATATCAGTCAATTGTTATCAGACAGACATGAATTGAAACACTTGATGATCTTGGATTTCATTTAGGTGATCTTTGTCTACATTTGCTCTTTTCAAAACCAAAGACAAAAATACTAGAGATTTTGCAGGACAATAGAGGAAATTGAAAAAAATCGAGGCTATTATTGTTCCCCACGAGCCACGATCACCATTTTGTTTATTTTGTGAGTGTGTGTGCGTGGGGGTTGGGGGGGGGGGGGGGTTGTGGAGCGAGAGTAGAGTGAAAAATGGAGAGTGCGATTAGTTGCGGACGAGTTGCTCTTTCCCCTAATCAAATATTCCAACCCATACCCGGTAATTTCCTTACTACTAGTTTTTTTTTTAAATTAATATAATTTTATGCCTAAGTATTTTATTTTTTTGGGGTGTTTTTGTCATTTGTTGTTTGCATTAGATGTTAACTTATTTATTTTAATTTGTATTAACAGCTTATTGAGTAATCTATCAAGTTTATGTGAAAATTTGCTTTTAACTGTACCATCATGTGACAATTAGCACCGATAATTGGTTAGGAAATTTTAATTTATACAGCTTGGTTAGAAATTGGGGGTGGGTACCCAAAGTGCTTATAAAATTAACCCAAAAGGCAGACCTTTCACGATATGTTGTTACATATTTCAAAAGGCTTCTAATGGCTTGTGTTCTATGCTATACTATTTTTGTGTTATGTTGGTGCCCAATTGTAGAAGAGTTTGAAAATAGTCGTNNNNTGTAGAAGAGTTTGAAAATAGTCGTCTTGAGATTGCAGGATGAGTTACACAAGCAATCTACTGTAATTTAGTTATCCTGAAAATGCATGTTTCTGTGTTATTTCAGGACACATTTGATCAAATTTGGTTAAAACCAATGTTCTGAACCAATTTTCAACAGGTTTTTAGTAAACAAAAGTTTTACCAAACAGACACTAAATAAATTTGATCGGCTGCGAGACATAGAGAGAGAGAGAGAAATGAAGTGATATTTTTTTCTTTTTTAGTTTTGATTTTGTAATTTTTTGAAAATTTTGGGATGATGGTTGTAATTAATTATTTTTTTTTCTTTTTATTTTATTTAAATGAGAGAGTATATTTGTTATTTCACAACTTTTTGTTGAAAAAATGAACGACAAGAGGATATGTGGTTTCAAATATGGACCTTTTGTGCTATCTTCAAGGAAGAAATTACATAATTCCAGGGATTTGAAGATAGGAATTCAAAAATTAGGGGCCAAGTTTCATTATTCAAAAATCAGGTAATATATAAAACTCCTAACCCTAATTTTTCGCTCTCTACTCCCCCCTCCCTCCTTCTTTCTCATTCTCTCTACTTTCTCCCTCGTTTAACGGTGCCACCGGAAGATGAGAAGGCGCCAACGCCATTAGAGCTTCATCTCTACTCTTCTTCTTGTTACTATCATCATTCCAATTATTTCCATTCTCATCTCCACCTCCGACGACGCCGTTGTTGCTGCCTCCACCAATTCCTCCATTTCCTCTGCCGTTGGAGATGTCGGTGATAATGTCCATGTTAGTGGCTGAGGAATTGGTGGAAAATGGTAAAAATAGGGCACAGTGGTGTGTGGGGTTTATGGTTATTGAGAGTGAAAAGTGGTGGGTTTTAGCAGTTGAGAAAGGACGAGGTACGGTGGCGGAGGAAGGGAGATGGTTGTAGAGTGAGAGAAAACGCGGTGGTGGTGTGGTGGAGGTAATGTTGGCGGAGATCGGCATTTTGGTCGTGGTCCACGCCTTTGCACTGCTCTCTCTAAACCTTTTGTTTTGTACAGGGAGACTGTCTTTGTTGGTGGTGTTGGCAAGAGGTGGTGGCGGGTTTGTGGTAGGTGGTGTGATGTGATGTGATGTAGTGGAGGTGGTTGTCAGTGCCTTTGTTGGTGCTGTTGCGACGGGGTGAGAGTGGTCGAAAGTGGCCATAGTGGTAGTGGGGGTAGTCTGTGACCAAATGTTTGGTAATTTGTGACCAATTATTCAACTGTGACCTAAAAATTTAATAATATGTGACTCAAAAATAATCTTTGACCAACTAATTTAAAAATCTGTGACGTACAAAATTTTTAATCTATGATTTCGAAATAATCTGTAATTAATTAATTTTAAAATATGCGACATGTGACCTATAATTATGTCAAAGGAATTTTGCGCCAATAAGTCCGGGAAAACTTTGATAAAGCTATTGAGGTTGGGCTAAAGCCACGTCTCAAATGAAACAAAAGAGCTGGGCCTGGGGGGCCTTATTTTCCATTTTAGTGGCACCAGATACATACCTTATTGGGCCCCACTGGACTGATATAGGGTCCAAATGTGGGGAGACGTGGCAACTTCAGAGTCATTATTTTATTTTGCCAAAACGTCTTTTAATTTTTTTTTCCCAGTAATTACCAAATAAAGTAATGTCTTTCAGTTCCATACTTAACAAAAGTAAAAATTTTCAGCATACATTTAAATTTTGGAAAGTCACATGGCCACCAAAACCGTCGTTCTTACTTCTTTGAAGAAATAGTATGTGATAAACTTCAATCAGATGAAATTTAAAAGACATTCGATCGATTACTTCTTCTTCCTCTTTTCTTTGGCTCAAAAGAATGGGTTCATACGTCACTATTAGTCACTGAATTTATAACAAAGTTTCATGAAAATTTTTGCACGCTTTTGAATGAAGCATGTGAAGTGAGCAACTATTTATCAGAACAGATAATTGAGGGAAGCTGGCAGTATCAATTTGGTTGAGAACAAGTCTTTGCTCGGACGGATCGATAACTCCTTCCTTCCTATAAATAGCTCACCGAGCAAGATGCATCGCAATTTCCTCTTGTACAGTTGTGTATGAAACAAGAATATTGTCTAATTAAATTAAGGATTTTACTACTTATATATAAAAAAAAATGTTCATAATAGATTATATAATATGATGTGGAGGGAAAATATTGGATGGAAAAGTTGATTGAGTTTAATATTGGCAAATGATAGTGTCGTGTAGAGCTGGGCGTGGGTTGGGTTGGGTTGGTTTTGAATTTCACCCAAACACAATTCAACATGATCGGTTTGACAATAATTCAAATTGAAACCAACACATTCACGATTGAAACCCAACCCAATCCAAACTGACCAAACTTGGGTTGGTTTGGGTTGGGTTGATTGGTTTGGACTTGAATCAAATTCAAGTTGAACTCAGTTATTCTTTTGTTGGACAATTTTTTTTTATATGTCCAATGATTGAGATTTTTTCGTTGAATTTGAACAATTTTTTAAATTTTGATACCATTTCAATTTGGACCAATATTAGTTCCATTAAAAAGGGAAATTTCAGAGGCCTTAAATTGATTGAAGTTGGATCAAATAGTCCGTGGGATTAAATTTCATTCCAATAGAACAATATAAATT